CAATTCAATCAATTGGCGACAATTAATTAAATAACTAGGTCTTTTAACGGAATGGGTGTAAATTGATTAATATTGATTATATATATCTAAAATGAAGTAAGAATATAATTTTAATTTACAGTAAATGGCAACGCAGTACAAAATAGTTGGCAACAGCAACAAATTAGCCAAAACCAAGGAAGCAACTCCGTACAAGGTTTGTCGTTCAATTTCACTTAGTCTGCAATACTCTTGATTAACTGATGACTGATGGGGGATAATGGAATGGTGATATAGATTCTGACAATATACGCTGATCTATCAAGATGACCATTAGAATGTTAGGAGCATAAATTTCACCAAAACTTAGACTAATACAAAAGATGCGGTAATCCTAAAGTCATTCATCATTATAAATACGAAAAGTTATTCTTTTTAGTACTGTTCATGAATATAGGCGACTGTTACCGCTTACCATCAGGCGAACCGTCAGTTTTTTGTCTTTCCAATTACATAAAATAAAAATGCAAATAAAACTTTAGGATATTTTCTAAAAATATTTTCTACTTTAACCAGGATCCCAAATTCCACAAGGACCGTGGAACTACTGGCATCCAGGATACCAATGGCCAAACGCAGCACCCCCAGCCGGATGGCAACCAGGCCACTTACCTGGACAATGGACTCCACTACCCGGTGCACCTTGGCAGTATCCACAACAGCCAATTCAACCAATAGGACCTGTTCAGCCAATTCCAATCCAGCCAGCACCAATCCAACCAGTGCCAATTCAGCCGTTACCAATCCAACCCGTGCCCTTGCCAACACCGATCCTGCCAGGACCAGTCCTACCAGCACCAGTTCCTGTTGGACCACAAATAAGACCAGCTGTAATTGAAGAAATACAGCCTGCAGTGGTCAATCATATACCGATTTCTGCTGGTTCACAGGAAATTGTAATTGAATCAGCTCCAGGAAGAACTATTACGATAGAAAGATTACCAGCACCAGTAATTGAGGAAATAGAATCTGGAATAATCAATCCAATTCCAATTGTACCCCAACCAATAATTGCAACAGCTTCAAGTGAGGCAGTAGCCCAGGCAATTTCAGTTGCACCCGCTCCAGTGCCAGTGATTGAGCAAATACAACCAGCTGTAATCAATCCGATTACTATTCTACCTGAACCTGTAATTTCATCTGCTTCCAGTGAAGCAGTAGCTCAGGCAATTTCAGTTGCACCCGCTCCCGTGCCAGTGATTGAGGAAATACAACCAGCTATTATCAATCCGATTACAATTCTACCTGAACCTGTAATTGCCTCTGCTTCCAGTGAAGCAGTAGCTCAAGCAATCGCAATCGCACCCGCTCCAGTGCCAATAATTGATCAAATACCACCAGCAATTATTAATCCAATTCCAATACTACCTGCACCAATTGCAGCAGCTTCAACTGAAGTAGTGGTAGAAGCAGGTCCATCTGAAATTATTACTGTGGAAACTGCTCCCGCTCCAGTCGAGACGGTTGTCATCCAACCAGAGCCAATTCAACCCATTTCTGAAACAATTGTTATTGCGCCTCCTCCAATTATACCTGAACCTATTGTAACATTGCCTGTTGAACCCATTGAACCTATAGTAATCCAACCAGCACCCGTAATACAACCAGTGGAAGTAATTACACCAATCTACTTACCAGGTATATTTTATTTTTCTACTAATTCTAATAATTATAGTGAAATCGACTCCATGTATGTCTTCATTCCAATCATAGTAGAGACTCTGGATCAAAGAAGGCATAATATAAATACATTTTTTTCTTCGGTTGCATTTAGTATGATTGTCTGTATTGATCTGACTGTTTTCTATGTAAATTATACATAGTATAATTGTACTAGTAGTTTATCGGTTTAGCACACCGCTTTACTGGCGCTAGACGCGAGTTCGATTCCTCGCATGGTACAAATATTTGTATTCATGAGTATGATTGTTTGTATAGGGCTTAGTGTTTCTATAAATATAATGTATGTATTTACAAAGAAAATGTATTTAAGATTTATAGCTGTTGCCTAGTGCTCATAACACAAGCTCTGCTTAGCTTGGGGATTAAATGTTTATTAATTTCTGTTTATTCGTATTAGCGTATTCTTAAACTGTTCCGGTGAATGATTTCTTCATCTATTAATTAGCATTGATTTCATACTTATGCATTCCTTTTCTTTTACTATTACCGCGTTCAATTGTTCTTCATGTATTTATATTGTTTCTATTAACATTTTAGAACCTACCGTGATCACATCTAGTGAGAGTGCTTCTAGTGCTCAATCTTCAGCCTCTTCAATTGCCACCAGCAACAGTGCTTCAAGCTCTTCATCTGCTTCAGGTTTGATGATATTTATTTCTTTCATTCACTATACGACTTAAATTAATTTGTCTGTATTTCTACGTAAAGTTGCCCATGTAGGTGTGCACCTTTGTGTGACTTGGACCTTAAGTTAAAGACCCCAATAGTGCGATCTCCATGTAAAACTTTGTATGATGATGTACCTCTAAATACATTATATGTATTTTTTTTATACTACGATGGTGGCAATCAAGCATACGGCCCATCTGATGGTAAATGGTTACCGTAGCCTATGAACGCCTGAAACACCAGGGGTATCACGTGCGCGTTGCCGATCCTTAAGAAACCTTAATATACCCTTCTTGAAAAACCCTATGCTGAAGTCTCGTGGGAAAACCTTGGCAGGAAATTCATTCCACAATCTAAGTGTACGCGGGAAGAAGCTTATCTGAAACCGCACTGTTCGGGACCACTTAGGTTCCGACGTGTGGCTTATAGAATGTAAGTAGTAGAACTCCTTATGCGAGCAGCTAATAGATTTTTCCTGCCTCTTACAACATTGGGTCTTTTAAGTGTGAATAGGTAGTAGACCACATCATGTTGGGGAAGAATAATGTTGTTGGGAAAGAATAGTGTTGTATATGTACTTAAGTAAGTAGTATATAGCCTTACCGAGTAGAAACAAAAGCTAGTCACCTAGTTCAGTCAGTTTTTTTTTTCTAAAAAGTCTATCAGATTATATACTATATTAAAAGTTAGGATACTTTTAATTCCGTCTTGAATTATAGCTGAACTGAACTTGAAATAGATTCAAGTTCAGTTCAGCTATAATTCAAGACGACCTCGCTGGTTTAGGTGTTTAGTACACTGCCTCACTTCCAATTCGATTCCTTACACGGTGCAAACATTTATATTCATCAGTATGATAGTTTTTATTGGTCTTAGTATTTTGTTTGTTGTATGTATTTACAAAAAAAATATTTATTTATTTCTATCAGTTATCTAGTACCCATATCAGAAGTTTTTGGAACTCGAAGGCGCTGTGTGAATTGTCCAGGATTATTATTATTATAATAATTTCAATAATTCCAGGATTATTATTATTATAATATTTATCGATCGATTTTTCTTTCTCAGCTCAAGCAGCCAGTTCTAGCAGCTCAACAGTGGTTGAAGAAGTCCAGACCAGTCCCGGACCAGTTCCATTACCAATTATTAGTCCAGTTGCCAAATTCTGCGTTTGCTACGACACCATAGACGATGTACCAGAAAATTTACGTGCCGATATCATATAAATTTAATACGAACTGAAATTTTACCTTCAAACATTGAGGTAATATCTGTTAACATAATAGAGAAGACGTTGCATACATTTGTTTTTATAAGCATAATATGAATAAAAATGAAATAGCAAATAAGTTTATGGTGTATATAGAATAAACTCATGTATTTAAACATAGAACACAAAATAATAAATGCGACCGATATAGCAACAATAAAATCAATACATTGAATTACAAATATAATATACAAAAGAAAATATGATACCTATATACTTTAACAGTCATACCCTGTAATTTCAATGGAATATCTGACCCTTCAGACCAACAGTTTGCAAAACAAATTTCTAGTGGCAGTATTAATTAAGATAAAGGTACCTAAACAAACGACTGTCTCGAATATCACATTATATTGCTATAGTTTACAAAAAATACATGTATTCTTACAGATACACAGAGAAATATATATATATATGTATATACAGATCAAAATCAGAATCCTCATGTTTTCTTGGCTGTAGACAAATGAAAAATGTTAAAATAATTAAATTTGTTTGCATTTCTTGAAGTCTTTTACTTTTTTAACATATACATATAAGGTACCATCTTCTAAGCACATATTTATTCATGAAAATAATTCGTGACTACACTTTTATACGTTATTAATAAATTGTTGTGTTTGTGCCGCAACTGAATGGGATATACGATGCAGCTACTGTCTTCTCTAATATATTATAATTTATTATACCTCAATGCTCATATACTCGATGAAATACGCATACCAAAAACGTTTTTCGTTCTGAATAAACTCGCCACACGAATATTTATATCATTATTTCTATATCAAGTTATACATTAAATTATATTGTTTTGACTATTTTGTTTTTTTTTTTAGTCAAGGAACTGAATTAGATAATATGGCTTAACTTCATACATATCCTAACATCCTCTACTGGTGCTCTGCCAGCGTGTACCGTTAGCACAAACGGGTGCACCATATAATATTTACCCTTTAAAAAATATACAAGAGTCTCAGTGGTTTAGTGGTTTTCTAGCGGCTTCACTTCAGATAGTGGTGGGTTTGATTCCTCGCACTGAACAAACATTGGTTTTCTTTGTAGTTTAATGAATGTATATGCGAATACATCTCCAAACACTCCACACAACGCAGTCGGCTTTAAGTAAACTAAGTGTTTGGAAATTTATTTATCCATTTCTAAGTCTGAACTCTGAACTATTTCATCTAGGTATATTTATTTATAATTTTATTTGTACATATTTCTTTCTTATACAAGTAATGTACTTTCTGTTATCTTTTGGAAACGTAAGCATATTGAGTTAGTCATTTATGAGATTTTTTTTTAATCTGTCAATAATACTAAATGCTATTTTAGACAATAATGAGCAAGAACCTGCTGATGTTATACAACTTTACACTTTTAAGTCGATATTTCTGTGTATAAATACTACCAAATGATCATGAATTGAGTCGAGATAAAATCTTAAAGCACTAGCAGCAACACATATAAACCAATTTAATATACTTTAAAATTACCGTTTGGTAACATTATTAACACAAAATGGCATATATAGCATGAATACGTTCCCTTAATTCACACAAATGAACTTCAAAATTCATTCACTAGAAGAAAACTCTTCTACAGCTCTAACTGAATCTCTAATAACTCCATCCAACTTCTGTCGGGTCTCATATAAATTCTTCCGTAGCCTATAAACCATTTCATCTGCAGCGTCCACTTGTATATCTTGAAACTCTTCCATGATTTTATTCTTTATTTCAACAAATTTCTCATCGTCCATTCCATCTTCTATCTCCTTTGCTTCCCAATCACCATCCTTTTCTATAACATCTTTGAGATCATTTGCTAGTTTTTGCAGAAATTCTTCGAGAATCACACCAACTTTGTCCATTTCGTTCGTTGTTAGTTTGTACTGTGAATTCACGTATTCGCTCATGATGTTCTTGAAGTTTTGTATATAACCTAAAATGTTTGCTTGCTTCTGTAGCGTCACAGTGTGGGGTTCTAGACTTACGTCGTCTAGTGCTTCTCTCTTGTTTATAATATGGCAGTTTATGTTTATTAATATGGATAGGAAGAATATTGGTGTCCCTGCAAGAAGAAATTGTAAATATAGCAATTGTATTTCAATGTTTAACTGAAATGATATATAATCTGACGGAATCCCTGATGACGAAACAGTCGACTCTATACATGATATCTATGCAAGACAGACTATTTTATATATAAATTTATAATATTTCAAGCATATACAGATACATATGTACGTATACTTATATATCGTATACAACAGACATCCTATCTCTTATATAAAAAAGGTACTGAAATATAAAAAAGATATACTTACACATTTTCGTATATTACACTATAAGTTGATAAACGATCTTTCTGTATGTTTGTCCGACGCACAATATCACAATGAACAACTTCGTAGTGAATGCGATAACGAGATTATACCATAACTGAACCAGTTATTATAAAATGCAATATTTTTAGTCTTAAACAGTTACATTATTATGATGTGTTCTGGATATTACTAGCTGTTTCGGGACGTCTATACTATGCGTATAGTTAAAATTACTAAACTAAGAGTAGCGTAAGTTACTCCATATAACATTACCTATGAGTGAAAATCCTATTAAAATCGGTACAGCTGCTTCAGAGATTTACAAGAACAAACAAATAAAAAGAGAGAGATAAAACAAAATATTATTTGTTGTGGTAAGGAATGTATATATATATCATAAACATTAGAGAAGAGCTTACAAAGAGATACAACTTTTATAAATCTAAAGCTGTGCCCTCAGCAATAGCAGTGCCACTATCAAACGTCGTTTTGCCATATAAATTAAAATTGCTATTGAAAACTAGTCGGGTCGATGCTAGAAGGGCAAAAATTCAGGGTTGATTTATTTTTCAATACTAAATCCTAAAAAAAATAAAATTAAAATTATGTCCCAAAATAAATAGAAAATGTTAGGTGTGGACAACCCTTATCACTTAGGGGTACGAAAAATATATACTAGCCGATTCTCAGACTTAATGAATATACATATAAAAATTGATAAAAACGTTCAAGAAGTTTCAGAGGAGTATGGTAATGGTAGCTAACATTGTGACACGAGAATTTTATATATTAAAAGATTAACTTTCATTACAATAATAGAATTAGATTCTAATATCATATTGTTACGAAATTTATCAGAATATTTATTAATTATGAAAAAGCTAAATTAAATAGATAGTTTTTTAATTTCAGCAAAATTAGAACTCATGAGATTTTACTTTTAAATGAAGGTAGTATATCTGCACCACGAAACACTGTATTAAATCTTTCTTTTTTATTATTATACATTACTTTACTTGAAATGAAGTATAAAAATGTTGGTAGAAGCTTAATATGATTGTAGTCGGCGCCAGACAGCCTCTTATGCAAATGTTCAATTCAATATAAATCGCATTGTACAGTTTTATGTTTTAGAAAAGAAATCTTTGAATTTTATTTTAAATAAACTAATTGTGGTGGGCGAGCAGCGCAGGACCGATCGTCGTGGAGATCTTTGGGGGGGGGGGGCTATGTCCAGCAGTGGACGTCTTCCGGGCTGCGATGATGATGATGATGAATTGTGGTGGGGTTCTTTTGTGTTGAGATGATATGTGAGTTGATGTGTTAAATAATAAATAATATGTAAGTTTGCAGCAGAATTGTATCTTTCCTTAATTTTTTACAATACTGTCCATCTATATTGGACAACTAAACTATTATAAAATCGTAATCGGTGAGGAGGCCGTAATACATATACACCTAACAAAACTAAAGCATTCACTTCCCATGAACGTATTACAACTATTTAAATTCCTCGGTTTGTTCTACACTATAAGACGCATGTATTATTATACATATACATATAAATCTTCCTCTTGAATCACTCTATCTATTGCAGAAATTGCGTTAAAATCAACGGATTCTAAGTCTTCAGCAATTTAAAAGATATAAACGTGTCTAACAATAATGTTTTTGTAGAAAAAATCTAACTTAAAATTCATAGCGCTGACAATATTGTCTGATTGTAGAAAGATTAAGAGCGTAGAGGTTTCTATGTCGATTGTCGCACACCTAATCCCAGTTAATGTGTATTTATCTATACATATAAATAAAATTGGAGTGTCTGTTTGTAATATTGAAATAACCGTTCTTTACTACATGCATATGAATATAATACGGTACATACACCATAATAACATTTTTTACAATTTTTCTCTGTCTGTCTGTTTTTTCCGGCTAATCTCTGTAATGGCTGGACCGATTGTGACGGGGTTTTTTGCAGGTAGCTGATGTAATAAGAAGTAACTTAGGCTACTTTTATTTTAGAAAAATAAAGTAAAGTTCCAGGGTTTGAGTTTATTTGAATAAAGATTATTTCTATTTCTATTATTTTTTCTGTGTCATTGCTATTACACAGAATAAAGTACCTATATCTATGTAACACACTTTAATTAAATTACAGCCTGTTTCATTACACCATCCAATCATTAAATCTGTTTGCTTTCTTAATGAAAACTTATTGATTTGATACGAGAATAGACGACATCGATGGGAACACGATTAATTCGTATTTATATCTTGTTTGTTCAATTAATTACTTTTTTCACTCAAATACGTCCTCGGTGGTCTAGCGGTTTAACACACCGACTCGCCTCTGATGGCTGCGGGTTCGATTCCTCACAGCATGCAAACATTTAACGGATATGAGTTCTGAGGGGTGCCCTCAGATCTCATATCAGCTAGGGGTTTGAACCTCGGCTCAGGTCGTTGTAATTTTGATCCCCGTTTGAACTGGACGGGTGATCGATGAATGAAACTCTTTATTGTTCCTCTCACAGTAAATACAATTACATACACATCATCATCATCTGCTTCTTCCTTATCCCATTTATTTGTGGTCGGCGTAATATGTTTTTCTCTTCCATTCATCTCTGTTCGAAGTGCATCGCGTTATTTACTTCCTTCCTTACCATATCATCTTTCACACAGTCCATCCATCTCTTTTCGGCCTTCATCTGCCCTTATAACCCACATTCATATGTAACACCTTCCTTAAAATATTATCCTCATTCCTACGCATTACATATCCATACCATGATAGACGATTACTCTTCAACCTCTCCGACACCGGCGCCACTTTCATACTTCCTCTAATGTATTCATTCTTTATCTTATCCATTCTTGTCACACCACACGTCCACAATTATGTATAAAATGATAAAAAAACACAATAATAAACAAGACCAAGAGGTAACAATGGGCAGCCTTATCGCTAAAAAGATGTCTTCCAGGTCACCTCAGGATGGAGAGAAGTGATTACATTTGGGTCTGGTGTAACAATGTGTTTATTCTTTTTTTTAGATTACTCTAACACTGTTGGCCGCAGCTGGCCTTTACAGCTTCACCGGACGATAGGCGGCACGTGCTGATGGTACTACCAACCAAAGGATTCTCCTTCTTTTTGTTGGGAACTCCTTCCTTTGGTTGGGAGTGTCATCACCACGCGCACGCTTATAGAGCGGTGAAGGGCATATCCCGCCTGCCGGATACGACGGCAGTCTGAGGGCACGGCTAGGGGTTCGAATCTCGCTCAGGCCGCTGTAATATCGATCCCCGTTTGAATTGGACGGGAGATTGATCGGATTTTTTTGTCGGACTACACTAATGCCGTTGGCCGCAGCTGGCCTTTCCAGCTTCACTGGACGATACGAGACGAGTGCAGATGGAACTCCATGCAAAGCGACCTGGCAAAGGAAGGACTTATAGAGCGGCAGCGGTAGTCTGAGGGCACCGCTAGGGGTTCGAATCTCGGCTCAGGCCGTTATAATATAGATCCCCGTTTGAATCGGACGGGACTTTGATCGGATTTTTTTTCCGACTACACTAATGTTGTTGGCCGCAGCTGGCCTTTCCAGCTTCACTGGACGATACGAGACGAGTGTAGATGGAACTCCATGCAAAGCGTCCTGGCAAAGGAAGGACTTATAGAGCGGCAGCGGCAGTCTGAGGGCACCGCTAGGGGTTCGAATCTCGGCTCAGGCCGTTGTAATTTCGATCCCCGTTTGAATTGGACGCGGGATGGATCAAAATGTCATACATATATACTAAGTAATAAAACGAAACAATATCGCCATCTACTTTTAACACAGCGATATCTTGTATGTAGTACGTGTACTTATCTATACGTATAAATAAAATTTGATGTCTGTGTGTAATATTGAAATAACCGTTTTTTACTACATGCATATGAATATAAATACGGTACATACACCAAGATAACATTCTTTACAATTTTTATCTGTCTGCCTGTTCGTTCCGGCTAATCTCTGAAATGGTTGGACCGATTTTGACGAGACTTTTACTGGCAGGTAGCTGATGTAATAAGGAGTAACATAGGCTACTTTTATTTTAGAAAAATTCTCTAATTAACTTTTTGTTAAATTCCACGCGGACGAAGTCGGATGTACAGCTAGTTCTTACTAAAAGTTCAATATAATGTAACAAACTTATACAGATATGTACATGTTGCATGACAGCATCCAATTGTATTGTTGATTCATGACTCCAATTTACACCTACAGTTATCTAATTTAGTAGTAATTTGTCACTTAGTATGAACACTTTAACTATTTAATACTTTATTAATGTACTAGTGTCATACCTCGGCGTCGCTTGTGTGTTTTCTTGTATGGGGTCAATTCGCAGTGTACATATAGTGAAATACAAAAGTGAAATCTTACTAATGTATAAGTGCGGAAATTTGGGAGTACGGATGGACGTTTGTTACTCTTTCACGCAAAAACTACTGAACCGATTTGGATGAAACTTTACAGTAATATAACTTATACATCAGAATAACAGGCTATAAATTTCTTGCGAGTAAAACCGCGGGCACAGATAGTATGTATATAATTAAAAATATATAAAAACACACTCATTACAGCAACAGGAACTAAGTTGTTCTGATGACAGAGCTCAGTAACAGTCTAAATGTTTTCCTTTTCCTTAAAACAATTAACAAAAGTTAAAAAAAAAATTATTTATTATGTTTTTTTTACCTATACATATTTTAAGACCTATTTATATAATTGATATATCTCAAATTATGTTATAATGTTTCGGTATTTATAAAATAACTCCTACATTCAAGTTTTTTTATTATTTGTTCATTTACTTCATACTAGTTGTGGCCGCAGTTTCACCCGCTTGTAATTTATAGCCTAGCCTATATGTTATTCTGATGTATAAACTATATTACTAAAGTAAAGTAAAGTTTCATCAAAATCCGTTCTGTAGTTTTTGCGTAACAGAATAACAAACATCCATCCATACTCGCAAACTACGGTCTAGTGGTTTAGCAATCCGCTTTACTTTCGGTGGTCGCTGGTTCGATTCCTTGCAGAGTGCAAATATTTGTATTCATGAATATACTTGTTTGTATCGATCTGGGTGTATTCTAGGTATATTATTACACCAAATTTCCTGATATAGATATATTTGATTTGTCATACTTTAAATTTAAGAAAACCCTATTAGACATATTAGTTAGAAACCAGTAATAAATCTTATATATAATATAATATCTTATATATAATATAATATCTTATATATAATTCTCGTGTCACAGTTTTCGTTCCCATACTCCTCCGAAACGGCTTGACCGATTCTAATGAAATTTTGTGAGCGTATTGAGTAGGTCTAAGAATCGGCCAACATCTATTTTTCATCCCCCTAAATGTTAGTCCACCCCTAATTTTTTATTTTATTTTAAGGCAAAACAACGTTTGCCGTAATAGCTAGTAATGTATATAATAATAGGAGTAACATAACATAAGTATTAACCTATGGATATCTGTATTGGTTTTACTATTATTAATTCATATCTATGTACTTAAATATATACTACATACATTGTGAAACTGTTTGTATCCCAAATAAAATAAAAAATTATGAATATGTAAACATCCTGTTCTTAAAGTTGGTTGAAAGAGGTTTAATACTAGTACTATATACTTACTAGCTACAGCTAAGACAGTGACACCACAGATGCAGTAGCGCAGCCTCCTCGTTTTAGTTAGAGCAAGCTGATGGTAACGGGCATCTGATTCCGCGAATAAATTTGACTGGTTTCATACTGCTAAGGTTCTGGAGGAAGGATTGAAAATAGAACTTTATGACATAGATAATACAGTAGTAAAATAATTTAGAAACAATGTAAGCAATATTATATTTAAAAAAAAAACTAAGTATTTATATCAGTTGTCTAGTACCCATAGCACAAGCTCTGCTCACCGTGGGACTAGATGGCGCTGTGTTATATGTCCTTCTTCTTTTCCCCATATTTTATTCAACTATAATTTATATATATATTTAATTGAATAAATGGTTGTGGGTTTTAATAAAATACTATTAAACTGATACACCTTTTTAGTCTATGATTTTACCTAGTCTACAGTAACTGTCAAAGTAAAACAGATTTTAAATAAAGACGATTACAGATTACTACAGATTATTACAGATACAGATTTACAGATAATTCTTTTATTGCCAATATAACACAACAATTTACAAATAATACACAAAATAACAAATAAAAAAATAACATACAAAGTTGGCAATAGGAGCTGCCTCAGCTGTTCCTGATGTAAGTACAACCTCAATGAGGTGCACCTGTACAGCGCTGGATTTCAGACAGCCCCCAATACTCACTAAAAAAAAAACAACACGTTTTTTATATAAGTTGAGTTAGTGCTAATTGCTAGTTTGCATTCACACACTTCAACTAAAAATGTAAAGTAACAATAAAATTATTTAAAAAAGCAACACGCAAGTTTCTTCCTCGTTCTTCACGGGAATGAGGCAGCTTTCCGAATGAGCGGTAGATTAAAAAAAAATGTGATGACTATTCAAAAGTGCTTCAAAGTAACTTGATTTGAATATTTTCTATTCTATTCTATTCTAATAACTATATACATTTAAATATAAATAAAAAACAAAAGCCGATACTAAATTTAGTATGTTTTTCTGCAAGTATAAACCTGCTTCCAATATTGGCACCTACCACAAGGGCGTCACTGGCTCAGTTAATCACGGGGGTGTATCGTCACCCTGGGTACATTTGTCTCAATTTACCCTAATACTTTTAAGGCGGGGGTGAAATGGGGCATTGTGGACATTGTCTTATATATAAAATTCTCGTGTCACAATGTTAATCACCATATTCATTGAATCTGTATACTGAACTAGACGGTAGAGAAATATAATATTAATACAAAACATTTTACGTTCATAAGCGGCTTAAAAAGATTTTTGATTTGACTTGATTTGATATAGGTATATATTTTTATTACCAATAACTGAGGGGAAAGAACACACGTCTTACTAATATTATAAATGCGAAAGTTTATGAGTTTGGATATTTGTTACTCATTCACGCAAAAACTACTGAACGAAACTGGATGAAACTTTACAGTAATATAGCTTATACATCAGATTAACACATGGACTATAATTTAAAGATATATTATACAAATTGGGCGAAATATAATGATAAATGTCAGGTGTAATGCAGACGAAGTTATACGTGTCAAATGGTTATACCATATAGATACGTAGATATATAATTATTCATGGGAATTTTAATAGTAGTAATATACAGGTATATATAGTAACATATACATAAACATCATGCGCCACCACTACCACTAAAATAAACTACAAAATCTTTTTCTCAAAAAGAGTTTACTCAAACGACAAAACCGTAATTTCTCCGTCAAAATCTCTAATTCTTATATTAGGTATTAAGTGCAATAAAGAGTTAATAAATAAAGAAAAATTAGCAAGCTGAATAGCGGCTAACAATTGAGACATAGCTATCCACGCAGAAGACTTTCTACATACCCTACCTTTGTTACTACCCACACATTCTCATTTATTGAAAATCCATACATGTCCATTTGAGCCCAGTCTACCCAACTCATTATCATACTATTTCAATTCCGATACCTATATAAAACGGGAACAACACCATCGACGATCAGTGGTAAATATAAAAACGTCCTCTAAACAACAAACATTTCATTCGTTCTCTTCCATTCGTTCTCTTTCATTCGTTCATTTTCATTAGTTACATGTCAAAATGTTGTCAGTAAATAATGTAATTTGTATATTCATCATTGCCATGTATAGTGGTATTGTATTTTCTGACGATTTAAAGGTAAGTATTGAAATCCTTAATAATGTCATGAATGTGAAAGTAGGTATAGCAAAAACTACTGAACCGATCGTTATGTAATTTTGTACACATGTTACTGGAGGTATTAGAATTTTTTATTAAAAAAAAACAAATATTTTAGATTCAATGTTAGCCATTATTCATTAGTATGATTGTTTCTATCGGTCTAGGTGTTTTCTATGTATATTATGTATGTAGTTACAAAAAGTATATCATTGTCTAGTACCCATAACACAAGCTCTGCTCACCGTGGGACTAGATGGCGCTGTGTTAATTGTTCAGGATTATTTATTTATTATATATTATTAAATAAAATTCAAATATTTTCTTAAATTCAAATTAACAGCTTTATATTCAAGGCATATGATAGTACAAAAAGTACTTTCATCAAAAATTTATTTAATTTTTATTTGCTGCTTCCTAAATGTCCGTTTATTACGGTATGTACATCAGAAAAAAAATGACTGTATATCTGTCTGTTTGTTCTTGCTAATCTATGAAAGGGCTGGACCGATTTTGATGATCCATCCTCTCTTAAAGTTGGAAGTCCAATCTTATCTGGTCCACAGATATGGCCATCCAAAGCTCTTAGGAAGGACTGGTCTGAGCGGAGCCTTCCCGGCATATATAATAATAATAAACACGAATTATACCAAAAAGTCTTAGCAAACCACTAGACAAATAACTTCCTCTACAATAGACCTCTTACAAAAAGCCGTCATTCTCAATACATGCCTCTTCTTGTTTTTTTTTAAACCACTTAGGTGGCAAACAAGCATAAGGCCCATCTGATGGTAAACGGTTACCGTAGCCTATGGACGTCTGAAACACCAGGGGTGTCACATACGCGTTGCCGACCCTTAAGAAACCTTAATATACCCTTCTTGAAAAACCCAATGCTGTAGTCTCTCGAGAAAACCTTGTATGGAAATTTCTGTCATCTTCTCTTTTATCATCATCCGCGTGTTTGAAAGTATTACCCCTGTACAAAGGGAGATATATAAAACACATATAAAATAATAATAATAATAATCATCATGTTTAATTATCTCAAATAACAACGAATACAATTCCTACTTATATAATAATAACATTTAAAAGTAATGGACCAGACAAAACGGTCCATAACTCAGTGGGGGCAGTGAATCCACCTTCTCTGCTATTCTGTTATAGCCTTTATTAGTAAATTAATACAATAAGAGATCGACGATAGCACGTTAAGTTCTAAACTACTACTAACAAAGTGAACATAAAACTTGACAAGATTAGAGAACGAATAAAATAAGAAGTAATAAAATTTGACGTCAAATTAAAAAAAAAATCCCGTGGAATCTTCTTGAGGTGTTCAACCAGAGCAAAGTGCTTCTAATCTCCTGCTGTATACTCCTTCTCGTCGTTCTATCTTTTCATCCCAATCCTTCACTATTTCTGCTATTAATCTTTGGAATGCACTTCCTGTTGGCCTCAGAAGATGTCAAACCAAATTTTCCTTCAAGAGATCCTTGCGTGAACACTACTCGAAATTCCTGTAGCAATATTCACACAAACCATTGTCTCAAGATATATGTCATGTAATCATATATATTGTATATTTATTATAGTTTAATATTATATTTAAATTGTATGATAATTATTAAGCTTATATATATCGCTTTATTTATGTAATTATATAATTTTAGAAGTATATTTGTACGTTTATATATATATTTTCTGAATTAATCTATTTAATATTTGTAAAAGTGCACCGCCTTATTATCCCTGATCAACGCGACGGTTGACTGGTAGAGAATGCCATCAGGCATTAAGTCCGCCATGTATACAATTTTGTGTGCAAAATTAATTTATTTATTATAAATAAATAAATAAATAAAGTATGGGGAAGCATGGACATGGCAGTAAAATTACAGGGTATGAAGGAATGATAAATGATACCTTAGTTCACCGCCATATTTTTGTAGTAGTAAGTGATAATAATGTTCTTGTACAAAACAAAAACATTATTATCACTTACTACTACCTACTAACTTAAAATTCATAGCGCAGACAATTTTATCTGACAGAACAGAGATTAAGTGCGTAGCGGTTACTAAATTGATTGTCGCATGCCTAAACGTTGTTAATGTAAATCTAATTAAAACAATATTTATTTAAAAGAGCCAGTTTCTTGCTCATTATTCTTGTGATGAGTCTGCATTCCGAATGAGCGGTAGAATAAAAAAATGTGACTATTCAAAAGTGTTTATATTAAGTTTATTTGAATAGAGATTATTTCTATTTATATTAATTAATATATTTTAGGAGGAAACTATAGACAGAGGTGCGCACAGTGATAGAAGTGGACTATGGTTTGGACCAAGACTGGGCAAGAGATCTCTCACTATTTCAAATGAAGACAGCAGGTAACTAACATCAAATAATATATGATCGTAGAAAGGCAGAGGACGCCCTAAAAAAAGATGGATGGATTATGTGAAAGATGATGTGAATATAAGGAGAGTATGCTCAGATATGACGGTAGATAGAGATCAGTGATGATCAGCCAGGCAATGATGATCTTATATATAAAATTCCCGTGTCACAATAATAATAATAAAAACTCTTTATTGCGCATATATAAAAATAAATAATTACAAAAAATAAAGAAAGAAAAAATGGAACAAAGGGCGGCCTTATTGCTCAAAGCGATCTCTTACAGACAACCAGGGAGATAAAAGTATTGGGTGAGGGACAGGTAGGTGGTGCACTAAAAAAGAGAGTTAAATATTATATGAATACTAAATACATATACATACAAATACTAGAGGTATATGTATATATATATATAAACTAGCTGTCCCGGCAAACGTTGATTTGCCTTAAAATAAAAAAATTAGGGGTGGACTACTTCTAACATTTAGGGGGATGAAAAATAGATGTTGGCCGATTCTCAGACCTACACAATACGCTCACAAAATTTCATGAGAATCGGTCAAGCCGTTTCGTAGGAGCATGGAAACGAAAACTGTGACACGAGAATTTTATATATAAGATAAACTAGAATAAGACTAAAAATTCAAAGATTTGTAACGCATCCATTGCATTGTGCGAAGCCTAGCGGTGCCCTCAGACTGAAGTCGTATCGTTCAGCCGCTCCATAAGTCCTTCCTTTGGTTTGGAGTGCCATCTGCACTCACCCCCTATCGTCCGCTGAAGCTGTAAAGGCCAGCTGCGGCCAACAGCATTAGAGTAGTTTGAAAAAACTCTAGCGGTGCCCTCAGACTGAAGTCGTATCCTTCAGCCGCTCCATAAGTCCTTCCGCGGGTTTGGAGTGCCATCTGCACTCGCCTCAGCTATCGTACGGTGAAGCTGTAAATGCCAACTGCGGCCCACAGCAGTAATCCGAAAAAAAACGCATGTATTTTACATGCAAACCTTCCTCTTGAATCTCTATCTATTGCCGAAAACTGCATTAAAATCCGTTGTCCAGTTTAAAAGATCTAAGCGAACAGACAGCGCAAGCATCTCATTTTATACTACCCTAACTACTCGCCCCGGCTTCGCACGGGTTTACATGTATTATATATACATATAAACCTTCCTCATGAAACACTCTATCTATTTAAAAAAACCGCTTCAAAATAAGTTGCGTAGTTTTAAAGATTTAAGCATACATAAGGACAGACAGACAGCGACAGCGACTTTATTTTATAATGTAATGATAAAGGTTAGGTGACTGTCATTTGTCATATTTGTATGTTCCAGACCATTTCTAAGGTTACTGGAGGCTGCAGATGCATTAAAGTATTATTACGACCAGCTACCGTACTACGAGGCGCAGGCAGACGAACCCGAGGCAAAAGGTATGTGTTCTAAGTTAGTGTTTCTCAAACTTTAGTTAGTATATATGTATATGTCCACCGATTTGTCTATACAATAAATAAAATTGTGTATATTTATAATTTTAGAATGAATAACTTCACTAAATGCATATCCTTACTATATAATAATATTATAAATGCGAAAGTAACTCTATCTGTCTGTCTGTCTCGCTTTCACGCCAAAGCTACTGAACCGATTTAAATGAAATTTGGTACACAGATAGTCTAGAACCTGAGAAAGGATATAGGCTACTTTTTAATCCGAAAAAGAGATGTAAGGGGTTGAAAGGGGACATGAAAAGTTATATGGAAGTATCAAGGATTTACGCGGTCGAAGTCACGAGCACATCTAGTGAAAGTATATATATTTTTTTTTTATTTAGGAAGATTAACTGTGTAATTTTACATGTTACTTGTCATATAAAATTGTCCTATGCCAATTAATAATCTTCGCCAATAGTATTACCAGATTAATTTTTTCATTAGCCAATTTTAACTTATTGAAGTAATCACGTGACAGTGTTTCAGTTGTAGTTATACAGTACAAGTAAATAGACCAACATACCCACAAGTAGCGATGTATCCACAGAACACACAAATAAAGTACGGCTATGTACCGTTAAAGAATTGGTTACATATGAGTTTCCTAACTGAGGCAGTGCTGGAACAAAACAGGTCAATATCATGTGGTACTTGGTTAAAGGATTTACATGCTCGTAAAACGAAAGTGTTCTCTCTATATCTGGTCCTGACTGTAGGGACACTTAATATGGCTCTTTGTCTAAGTCTTAGGGTATTAGTTCTTAAGTTTATTTTTGATAGCAGCTCCGAGCAATCAATTCTTCCGTTCGCTATATTCATAAGATAACAGATATCGTTAATATTGTGTCTCATATACAGGGGTAGAAAGTGATACTTTCTACATCTATCATAGTAATCTACAGAGCAATACAATATATATCACAATTACATGTCAAAATAATAAAAAAATGGAATCTTGCTGAGCATTTCATAGCTGAATCCTTCACTAGCAGATAGCTAATGTCATAAGGAGTAACTTAAGCTCGCGCTCTGAAAAAGGTTTTAATATTTTCAGTGACAAAAAAGGTTATATTCACACCCAAATTGGGACGAAGTCTGGACGCCTATTACGACAAGCGAGTGTCAGAGAATGTGGACTTCACTCCCCGCCTTGGAAGAAGGTTGACTGACGACATGCCCGCAACGCCGCCTGACCAGGAATTGTAAGATCCACTGGATTATATTTTTTTTTTCGGACTACTCTAATGCTGTTGGCCGCAGCTGGCCTTTATAGCTTCACCGGACGTTAGTGGCGAGTGCAGACGGCACTCCAAACCCGTGGAAGGACTTATGGAGCGGCTGAAGGCCAACTCCTGCCTGATGGATACGACTTTAGTCTGAGGGCACCACTAGGGATTCGAACCTCGGCTCAGGCCGTCGTAATTTCGATCCCCGTTTGAATTGGACGGGGGATCGATCGGAGGAGCGGATATTATGTATATGTACTAAAAAGCAGCATAGCTTTATGTGCACACAGGACCGTATATGATACAATAAATGACTTATATGCTAAATTTATGACAGGTATAGAAAGGTAAAATATTACAATTTATTTATTTTTTTATTTCCAGATACAGACCGGACCCTGAGCAACTGAGCAGAAAGTATTTCTCGCCAAGACTTGGGAGAAATTTGAACTTGACACCAAGACTTGGCCGTGAACTCTACGGTAAGTTATATAACAGTTTCAGTGGTGTAATGGTGCATCAGTCCATCTTAGTCATCCCGGTGGTCGCGGGTTCGATTCCTTGTACGCTTAAACATTAGTATTCAAGAGTATGATTATTTTTATTGTTCTGGGTGTTTTCTATATATATTATTTCTGTATTTATATAACAAACAAAAGTATTTCTATCAGTAGTTTGGTACCATACATAATACAAACTAAGATTAAAACCGATGGTGATGAGCGATGAGATGATGAGATGGTGGTGTGCAAATAGTCTGGGGTTATTATTATTATTATAATAACTGGTGTTGGAGATAGAAGGTAAGCGAGGTCTTCAGTTAATCTATCAAGCACTACAAGATAAGCGACCTTCAGGTGTGCTTATCTCATCATCCTTCACTGGTGTCTCACTAGCTAACGTACACCGCTAGCGCAGGAGAGTGCTGTACCATATTCAACCATTACAAATAGTATAAATAGAATTTATTTTTTATTTTCAGAAATATACCCACGTCAAATAAGAGTTGTGAGAAGTGCAAACAAAACAACATCATCGTAACTCAAAATGTACCGATTTTAAACTTTAATTAAGTATTTTATAATATTTTGGACGAAGTAAACACTTATGACAACCAAAGTTGTACCAATTCATTAAACTAAATTATAGATAAATAAAGATGTGATACAAGTAGCAAAGGTGTTTAATTTAAGTAATATAATGCTGGCAAGAATGGACAAGGTAAAGAAATAATACATCCGGGGAAGTATGAAAGTAGCGCCAGTATCAGAGAAGTTGAAGAGTAAACGTTTGTTTAAGTTTAGGCACATAATCCGTAGAAATGAAGTGACAATTTTTAAGAAAGTATTAAACAAGATGCACTTAGAGATACACTATTACACTTTTACAAAATTGATGTTAAGAGCAAAAGAATATATTTCTAATTATTTATTAAAACTTTAATGCACAAATATTCAAATAAATGCACATGGCGGAATTAAAACCTTGAGGCATTTTTTCCCAGTCAGCCATACGGCAAACAGAGATACATGTAGGCGATGCATTATCAATTATATATATAAAAAATACATATACATACAATATATATACAAATCAACAATGAAAGTCGTAAAAGTGCAGGGGTATAGGAATAATAGTATTATATTTAAATTTGGGTTAAAAATAATTACTCTACTTTTGGGAAAGGTTTATAATACTGTATAGGCTACTCAGCCTTCATATCTATATAGTAAAATATAATTATAAATACAAATATTAAATAAAGACAAACATATATACACATATATCAACATTATATTTACACTTATATCTATTTATTTTATATTATTATTATACTATGTACATCACACTTTACCATATGAATATAGTTACATCTTATGCTGCGTCTTATATATGTTTGTCTTTATTTAATATTTGTATATATAATTATATTTTACTATATACATATATATGAAGGTTGAGTATCCTATAACTGTTTTAAACTTTTTTCACGGTATTACTATTGATCATATTATTAAAGTGCTCTCGCTATTTTGACGTAGTTACAAACGTCCTACTTACGGGTCGATGGTGAATATCTTATTTAAATAATGTGTAGGAGAATGTAAAGGTCAAGAAAAAGACAATTGTTTTCTAGAAATATGTATTCTGTCAAAGCGTCAATTGAATTCTGCCATTGATACTAGCCAGAGGGTTTCCTATAGGCTTCAAAACCTCTGGTTCTCTATCTTTTTCAGGTATAGGTTCATTGAAATCGTACTTTTCTGCTATCAATGGTAACTTAGCATAATAATTTGGACTACTCATCCTGTAATATTTCTTAGTCGGTATCATGGTTCCAATCTTCTTTGTATTAGCTTTATTAAGAGTAACTTCTTTATCAACAGATGCTTTATAATCATACAACAAATCTTCAGTTTTAGCTTTAGGTTCATCAGGTTTACTAACTTCATCGTAATCGCTTTCTTTATCTTCTTTATCAGTTTCGACCATTGGTAGCCACTCATCATTAACCGTTTTCTTTTTCATATACTGACGGGCTTTTTGTTTCGATTTATAGGTTGTTGTTTCATCACTATCGAAAACGTTATCCTTTTTTGGCGTAACATAATCTTCGTAGCTATCCTTAGATTCTTTACCAGTCATATGAATTTCTTTAAATATCAACCCATCATCATGAGCATCTTTAATCGGTTCTTCATTTGTAGTATTTTTCATAAATTTTTCACCAAATTGTGGCTGCTGTTCATACCAGTTTTTATTAATTTTATGTTGTTGAACTTTGGACGTTGAGCTTTGACTGTTTCGAGTTTGTACTTTTTTTATATCTTTCTTCATATTAGGCCTCTCTATGTGTGTCACTTTATCTTTTTTAGACAATAGACTTTTATTACTGTTATATACTTCTCCTAATTTTTCTTTAACTGTATTAAAAAGTGCTACTAAATCAATTTTTGGCATATTAAATGTGTTTTCACCAGCATGTTCTTCCTGTATCATTGTGTACATTCTTTTATTATCAGCTGTATCTTCTTGTGATTCATATTCTTTATTTCTACTATCTTCTTCTTGTCTATATTTTATAAAAGAAGCAGAAGCCATATCTGCTAGCTGATCAGCTAATTTATCGGGAACAAACTTCTTGGCCATATTGCGGAAGTCTTCTAAATTCGCAGCAAATAGAACATATCCATTTATCGCTGTGATTATTATTGAGAAGTAACCTGTAATATAGTATAAATCATACTCGATGAATGGTTGTTTGTTACTCTTTCACGCTAAAACTGGGCAGATTTTGATGAAACTTTATAGTAACATAGTTTATACACCAGAATAACAATACATCGGCTAAATTTAAAATTATATAATACTTCGGATGCATATAATAAACTTTCTCTTGAATCACTCTATCTATTGCAGAAAACTACTACGTAATCTATCTCACTCAAAGGTGACTGACATAGTGATCTATCAACGCACAGCCCAAATCACTGGTCGGATCGGGCTGAAATTTGGCATGCAGGTAGATGTTATGACGTAGGTATCCGCTAAGAAAGGATTTTCATAAATTCTACCCCCATGGAAATAAAATAGGGGATGAAAGTTTGTATGAAACTTTGTCAATTTTAAACCGATCAGGCTGAGATTTCGCTTGCATAAAGCTACTATGACGTAGGCATCCTCTAAGAAAGGATTTTGATAAATTCCACTTCAAAGGGGATAAATTAACGCGAGCGAAGCCGCGGGCAAAAGCTAGTTTAAAAGATATAACCGAACAGACAGCGTCGGCGACTCTGTTTTATACTACGTAAAAGTAAATAGAAATATTATTAATATACTCACATGTTCTACAAAAATGGAATAACAAAGTCATTTTACTTGTTACAATAAATATTCACATAAAATTGTAAGCGATAACAAAATTTGTGTTTCGACATAAAGTTTTATATTTGTTGTTATGATTTATGTTAAATATATAATCATTCGGAAGAATACGAATGAATGAGTGACTGAAATGAATGATAGACAAACACACGGTACTATGTTTTCGAAATAGAAATTCCAAGAAATGGGCTTATATTAAAACGTTTAAAAGTTGGCGATCAGGTCCGTACTATTTCTTTTTTTATTTCCAATTATTCTATGCTGGCCATAACGACGGCGAACAACGAATCCGAGGTATTTTTTTTGAGGGTTGATAATAGAATGGTGCACCCGCCTGCGCTAACGGTTTACGCTGGCGGGGCACCAGTGGAGGATGACAAGATGAGCATGAGGTCAGGTCAGTTAGCCCGTAGTGCAAATTCACCAGGAATTTAACATTCGAGGTTTGAACCCCTAATGGTGCCCTCACTAAAGTCGTATCCGTCAGGCAGGAGATAGCCTTCAGCTGCACCATAAGTGATTCCTTTGGTTTGGAGTGCCAACTGCACTCGCCCCCTATAGTCCGGTGAAGCTGTACAGGTCAGCTGCGGCCAACAGCATTAGAGTAGTCCGGAAAAGGTCATACTAACTTTCATGTGCTCCTAATTCCTAATTGTTTTATATATATTTTTTTTATTTATTACACGTTTTGACTTGTAAAATGTGAACTTACAAGGATTGTTCAAAAGAGCAACACACAAGTTTCTTGCTTATTCTTCTTGTGATGAGACAGCTTTCCGAATAAGCGGTAGATTTAAAAAAATGTTGACTATTCAAAAGTGCTTAAATTAAGTTTATTTGAATAAATGATTTTCTATTCTATTCTATTCTATTTAAATAACTTTAATGCACGTCATACACAGGTAAAAAGTACATATGGCGGACTTAACACCTAACGGCATTTTCTACCAGGCAACCATGAGTTGTGCAGAGATAACAATTTGGCGGTGCAAACAACATTATAATAATTTGATAAAACGAACACAAGTAAAAATATAAATATGTATACACATAAATATCCCTACAAATATACATATATGTATATATGTTTATAAACTATAATGCGCCGCTAACTAACTTCTCAGTTTGCCTTATGGTTGACTGGTAGAGAACGCCCTTAGGTGTTAAGTTCGCCATATGTACATTTATATATTGTATTTGTGCATTAAAGTTTAAATAAATAAATAAATAAATATACATACAAAAATATACCATACATACAATACTATTAATTATACCCGTATATGTCTGCAATTTACTTCTAATACAAGAAACTACTTATATACAACAATCCTGAACTTAAATACAGCTCCTACTAACATACTAAACATCTATTTCTTTAATTTTTTAAACATTCAACTTTTGTAAATAACCCAAGAATACACATTTATACATAGCACGAGTGGTCTCATCATTTGGCCTCTCTCATCCTGATGCTGCTAGAACAGGTGAACCTACATTTCGGAATAATAGCTGTCCTATCATAGTCGCTAAATGAAGACTACAGCAAGATTTTAAGATCAATTTTATTATAATACTAGCTGTCCAGGCAAACGTTGTTTTGCCTTAAAATAAAAAAAAATTAGGGGTGGACTACCCCTAACATTTAGGGGGTTGAAAAATAGATGTTGGCCGATTCTCAGACCTACACAATACGCTCTCAAAATTTCATGAGAATCGGTTAAGCCGTTTCGGAGGAGTATGGGAACGAAAACTGTGACACGAGAATTTTATATATAAGATATAACCCTGGACAATTAACAAAGCGTCTTTTTGTTCCACGGTAAGCAGAGCTTGTGTTCTGTTTACTAGACAACTGATATAAATACTTACATTTTTTATTATAATATATATAGAAAACACCCAGACTGATACAAACAATCATACTACAAATGTTTGCACCGTGCGAGGAATCGAACCCGCGATCATAGGAAATAAAACGGTGTGTTTTCGTTTAATCACCTCCTGATGCTGCTGGAGCAAGCCGTGGTAATTGCTAAATTACAGCTAGCTTCTAAGATCTTTATTTTTTTTATAAAACTATACAAGTATTAACTTGAAATTCATAGCGCTGATAATATTATCTGATTGAACAGAGATTATTAGCGTAGCGTGATTGTTATTGTCGCATGTTATGTTAATTGTCGCATGCCTAATCTTTGTTAATGTAAATCTACTTAAAACAACATTTATTTAAAAGAGCAACACATAAGTTTCTTTAGTCTTCTTGTGATGAGTCTGCATTCCGGATGAGTGGTAGAATCAATGAAATGTTTATTCAAAAGTGCTTATATTAAGTTTATTTGAATAAAGATTATTTCTATTCTATTCTATTCTATTAAATATTCTAACATGTATAGTATGTCGTAAATGTTTACTCTGTGTTATCCGCCTAGGTCTATGTATGTATGTGTATTATTATTAATTAGTAGTGTATTATTAGTATTATTTATAAATTTTTTTTAGTAATTAAATTAAATTGTTTATTAATGAGTATATTATATCCATAATAATAATAGCTGAGAAAAAATAAAGAATAATAATAATAATCTCAGGACAATTCACACAGCGCCATCTAGACCCAAGTTAAGCTAGCTAAAGCTTGTGTTATGGGTTACTTATCTAGTACTGATACAAATACATACATATATATTTTTTTCGTAAATACATACATATTATACATAGAAAACACCCAGACCGATACAAACAATCATACTCATGAATACAAATGTTTGTGCCGTGCGAGGAATCGAACCCGCGACCATCGGTCGTAAAGCGGTGTGCTAGACCGCTAGACCACCGAGGTCGTCATATAAAATATATAATTAAATAATTTATGTATGTAACTGTAATTCATTTCTTACTAATTTCGATATTAATAAATAAACGATTTAGAATAATAAATTTAACGGCATAATGGTTAAAATTAAGGGTTATATGTATTTTTAACAAGGAATTATTATTATTATTTTATTATATTCATTATATATGATGGTATCCGCAGAATATCAGCGTCGTGGCACCCCGTCACGACATATGCTGAGCGGAGACCTATTTGGTACTGTAAAATTAATATAAACCGATAAAATGTAAAGTAAATTTAAAAATTATTTTCAGTGTACCAAATAAACAATTTTCTTTCTTTTCTTTTTTCTTTCTTAACATCAGTCTAGGCATGGGTCCGAATCCAACTCGGCACATGTCGATTACTGAGGTTTGGGTTTTGTGTATCTTATATATTTAGATGTTCTGGTTGATCCTGAAATATAAATTTTATAATTAATATTTATAACTTACTAGCTGAGCCCGCGGTTTCACTCGCGTGAAGTTTATAGCCTATGTATTATTCTGTATCTGTATCTATATATACATATCCGTTAATTATCCATAAATATCCGTTGAGTAGTTTTCCCGTAAAAGAGTAACAAACATCCATCCATCTATGCATCCATATTCAAAAACATTATGGAAAAGTTTCATTAAAATTTGTTCAGTAGTTTTTGCGTGAAAGAGTAACAAACATCCATACATGTATAGGCGACAGTTACTTTAACAGGTGAACCTGTGGTAGTGTCAACTTGTTGGTATTCCAAATAAAAAAAAACAAATGTTTAAAAATATTTTTTTTCCTCATTTACAAAATATATAATACCTATGTATACTTTAGCCTTACTATCGTTACTAATATTATAAATACGAAAGTAAAGCGAGACAGACAGACAGAGTGTCTGGTTGTCTGTCTCGCTTTCAGACGAAAACTCCTGAACCGATTTAAATAAAATTTGGTATAAAGATAGTCTAGACCATGAGAAAGGACATGGACTACTTCTTAATGCGAAAAAAGGGTTGTAAGGGGTTGAAAGCGATATCATATAGAAGTATTGTCATTTTCAAAGCTAGAATCTTAAAACTTATTTTTAAGCCTATTGATTGACTTGTATGCCGAAAAAGAGATGGATGGACTGTGTGAAAGATGATATGGTAAGAAAGGAGGTAAATAACGCGATGACTGCGAACAGGGATGAATGGAAGCGAAAAACATATTACGCCGACCACAAATAAATGGGATAAGGAAGAAGCAGATGATGAGTATGTAATTTTGTATGGAAATTCATCATTTTTGAAGCTGGAACGATGAAACATTTTTAATTGGCATTTATTAGCTTAGATTTTTCTTTTTCATTATTTGGTCAAGGTCAATATTTTATGCGGACAAAGTCGCGGGTACAGCTAGTACGAATATATAACCAATACTAGATGTACCCGTGACTTCGTCCGCGTGGAAGTCGACTTTATTTTCCAAAATAAAGTAGCCTGTGTTACTCCCCTTAAAAAATACCGTCTAAATCGGTCCAGCCATTTCAGAAATTAGCCGGAACAAACAGACAGACAGATAAAAATTGTAAAAAATATTATTTTGGTATATATGTATCGTATATATGTATCGTATATATATTCATATGCATGTAGTAAAAAACGGTTATTTCAATATTACAAACAGACACTCCAATTTTATTTATATGTATAGATGTATAGATTAAGTTTGTTAAGATGTCTATATTTACCTTCGTGTCCATTCATAGTCACACACGGCGGACGAAATATTCGTGACTGTTTTAAAATATTACTCGAATTTCTTAAATCCAAGTGCCAACTCTTAAAAAGTGCTTTTAGCCCATATTTCAAACTTCTAAAGGAGTGCCTCTTCTCTGGAAATGTAATAATGAATAGCAATTTAATTCGAGGATGTAAATGGAAAAATAATAAAATAAATATAATGGTATATAAATAAAAAAGTACATAGTATAAAACAAAGTCGCTCAAGATGTCTGTCCGTCCTTATGTATAAGGATGGACAGACATCTAGATGGCGCTGTGTGAGTTGTACTGAAAAAAAAAACTTCAATTTGTTTCTCATTTACAAATTCCTTGGTAACCTAATATGATTTTAGAACAGCTTCCAAATATACTAGCAACTTAAACAAGTGAGAGAGGTAACCAAACAAACGATTTTGACGACAACCTTTGTAAAACATCTTTGGAATGTAATGAAAAAATTATATTATTTACAATAGAGATGTGTCAACTTGAGTTGCGGTGAATTCGAGTTAACTCGAGTTGAATTCTGCCAACTCTAGTTGGAAGTATTCAACTGGTAAATGAACGAATCAAGCTAAAGAGCGAGAACATGATTCTGTCGTAGAACCGACAATGACATGAAATTTTCTGATCATTTCATATCATACATATAAAAATTTCACTCAAATGTTTCAATATTGATTTGAGGTCGTTATAATTTTTTTTTCGCATATTCATCCGGTTATATTATCATTAAAATGATTCTATAAGTCCTTCCGCGGCTTTGAAGTGCCATTTCTACTCGCCCCCTATGGTTCGGTGAAGCTTTCAAGGCTAGCTGCTGCCAAAAACATTAGATTTGTTCGAAAAATAAAACAAAACTGTTTATTACAGGTAACCCGAGTCATCATCATCATCATCATCATCGCAGCCCGGAAGACGTCCACTGCTGGACATAGGCCTCCCCCAAAGATCTCCACGACGATCGGTCCTGCGCTGCTCGCATCCAATGCCTTCCCGCGATCTTGACCAGATCGTCGGTCCACTCAACCCGAGTCAACTCAAGTTTTTTTTTAAATTTGAGAAATATTAGTTTGTATGCTTCAGCGTTTGCGCCAGTGGTTTACGCTCGCTTCAGCAGAGTTTGAAAAGGATTGTATACTTATGATTTACTTAGATGTGAAGTTTAAAATAATTCTTGAAATATTATGTTATATTTATATATTATATTATTATAGTGGCATATTGATTTTATAAGTAAAAGAAGACAAAAGAATAACAAGGACTAACAAAACAATATAAAACAAACAACAACAAAAAAATAAAAGTACAGAACAAAACAACGATAAAACGTAAAGCAAAATAAATAACAAATCAATGAAGATGTTGGTGGTTGATGGTGGTATGGATATGTTGCTGATGATGGTATGAGAATGTTGATGATGATGATTATGTCTGATAGTCAACTCGAGTTAACTCGAGTTATGTTTATTACAAGTTAGCACATCTCTAATTTGCAACTAGGTTACTCGCGCAAATTCGTCTGCATTACACTTACGTCACGTAAGTGTAATGCAGACGTATCATTGTACGTCGTCCAGTATACTTTATATCTTTTTAAATTATAAGTTATATGTTATTCTGATGTATAAGCTATATTACTGTACAGTTTGATAAAAATCCGTTCTGTAGTTTTTCCGTGAAAGAGTAACAATCCTCCATGCATTTGTCACAAACTTACGCGTTTATAATAGTATATTAATTAATATTAGTAAGGTTTACCATTTATTATCGTGTTCAACAATGTTTTGATAGCAGTGATGTCCCATTGGAAAAAGCGTAATTGCAAATTACTAATTTGAAACAATATGGAAAAGATATCTTCCTTTGTATGACCAGTTGTATTGACGCTAATCAGTTGTATGAGCCTGAAAATATTGATTTTATACCATACACACACACGTTATCTGTATGATACGCTTTCATGCAAATATTGCTAAAGTAATTAACGAGAAACTTTACAAAAATATATTAAACTAGCTATTGCCCGCTGCTTCGCTTGCGTTAATTTATCCCCTTAGGGGTGGAATTTATCAAAATGCTTTCTTAGGGGATGCCCACGTCATAGCAGCTTTATGCATGCAAAGTCTCAGCCCGATCGGTTTAAAATTGACAAATTTTCATACAAAGTTTCATCCCCTATTTCATCCCCTTGGGGGTAGAATTAATGAAAATCCAAATTTCTGCCCGAACCGTCCAGTGGTTTGGACTGTGCGTTGATAGATCACTATCTCAGTCACCTTTGAGTTTATATATATATATGAGGTGTTTTAACATACAGGTTAAGTCAGTGGTTCCCAAATAGTTTTTGCTTCGTACCACTACAAAAAAGACCTCAAACCTTGCGTACCCCTTATTGTACCAAACACACTAATATTATAATTGTGAAAGTTTGTGAGTGTGTGTGTTTGTTTTACTGATAACCGCACGTACCTCTTGATGCAACTTCACGTACCCCTGGGGGTACCCGTACCACTAATTGGGAAACACCGGGTTAAATAAACAATAGGAAATTAAATAATTACAATACACACAATCTCTATCAATGGGTAGAAAAAGAAGACAGTAGGTGGTAGGTAACGCATGAATACAATTATATATTTATAACTAGCTGTTCCCGCGACTTCGTCCGCGTGGAATTTAACTTCATTTTTCTAAAGTAAAAGTATCCTAAGTTACTTCTTATCACATTTGCTACCTGCCAAAAAAAGTCCCGTCAAAATTGGTCCAGCCATTTCAGAGATTAGCAGGAACAAACAGACAGACAATAAATTGTAAAAAATATTATTTTGGTGTATGTACCGTATTTATATTCATATGCATGTAGTATAAAAAACGGTTATTTCAATATTACAAACAGACACTCCAATTTTATTTATATGTATAAATGTATAGATTATATATTATGTAAAAGCTAATACAGACTAAATAATTGTTTAAAATAGCTCATCTTAGTTTGTTTGCTATTACGAAAAAGGGTCGTAAATTTAACTAAGTGCAAGACGTCTGCGAAGATTCTAAGTATATTGTATGCCTTTAATAGGATAATAGGTCCAGCTCTACATAAATATGTAGACCCTTCTACCGAAATCATCATCATCGCAGCCGGAAGACGTCCACTGCTGGACATAGGCCTCCTCCCAAGATCTCCACGACGATCGGTCCTGCACTGCTCGCATCCAATGCTTTCCAGCGATCTTGACCAGATCGTCGGGTCCACCTTGCTGGAGGTATTACCGTCATACAGCTTATATATTCAGCAAACTGCTTTGCGACAGTGTTAAGTGAGATAGCGTGACCATGACCTTCGCAGTCCACTACAAAACTTGCCATATAGGGAAACAGGATTGTTAATATTGTGGACTGATCATCCCATTGCTAACAATGTACCATTTCAAGTTGATCTCCACGCAGTTCTCCCTGGAAATCATCATGATATATTCCTAAAGATCAGAGGTGTTGCGGGGAACTGTCACAGCGATCCCGCGACTTCGAAATATGGCGTTGGACATTATATCATGGAGTGTTTAGTGTACCCGCTTGTCTCCCGGGATGGGCAATTTTCCATGAGGATTTACTCCAAGTAAAAAAAAGACTTTGAAACTTACCTCATAACCGTCGGATCATCAATTTTGACAGATTTCGGCGAGCCTAACTCCTTCTTATGGCCGACCAAATATGGCGTCACCAGATCTTGACACTGCATCCATTGTATCGGTACATCTCTAATATTGCTCGGTACCTTTCTCCTATAGAATATATCTATTGCTGTCTGCGCTTTATATTTCTTTGTTCGCGTCCTTAAAGGTTTAACTGATTCACTTATCAGATCTGAATTGCTGGGAATCTTGACCGGCATTGCAGTGGTTGTTTTAATTTCCGGAAGTTTAAATTTGCCATTCCTTTTTCGATCGTTGTTGTCCATTATTGGTGTGATCGGTATTGATTCAATATCGACGTATTCGTAATTCTCATCGAATGTCACTTCTTCGTTTATGGGCGAAATTAATTGGGTCCTTTGTTTTTGTTTGATTTTATCCGTTAGTTTTTGTTTCAAGATCTTCACTCGTTCGTGCAGGCCCGGTGTTGTTTTGGCCGTCTTTGTTAAAACTCCACTCTGTACTAGATATGTGACAAATAATCGATTATATATTCTTATATTTTTCTCATAATAATCAATTTTTTACGATCGGGTTTTTTTACGGTGGCGGTATAATAAAAGAGCAATATGAAATATTTACAGCAGAAAAAAACATGTACAGTCTCAACTCTCAAATTAATTTGATTTGTTATTTGTATTTCTATCAATATAAGTAAATCAAAAATTTAATATGATACACAAATTGTGATTTAAAAAATAATGTATCTGTAAAAAATCGATTGCTCTGCTACAAAGAACCCAGTTTTAATAACTTATTTAATAATTGCCATTTTTTACAGGTGCTTCTTTTATTTGAGTTTTTTTTTATACAAATGTCATAAAAAACAAATGAAACAATTTGTTTTGCTTAGTTTGTTTTTTATGACATTTGTAACAAGAGTAGGTACTCACAGACCAAAAATTGAAAAAATTAAATAAATGAAAAAATAATCGATTCTTATTCAATATCAAAATAGATTTTTTTTATACCACGAAGGTGGCAAACAAGCATACGGCCCATCTGATGGTAAATGGTTACCGTAGCGTAAGGACACTGAAACATCAGGAAAATCCTTAATATTTTAATGGATTAAGTATTAAATAATAATAATAAAATAATATTACAATTAGAATTTTTAAGAGTAATATATATTGAATATTATATATATTATAATATTGAATAAGATCATTAAAATAATCATTATTTATTTTATTATTATCATTGAATACTTAAGAATTTAATAAAATTCCATTTTGTCATTAATGGAATGTTATTTATATTATGTTCACATATTAATCTTCTTTTTATATACAGGACATCTGTTCGGATATCGTCGGCTCGCCGGACTGGAGTCCGCGGGCGGTGCTGCGGGATCCGGCTCGAAGGACCATTATTGTAGGGTCCTAAACTAGATTCGACCCCACTACCATGGTTTGTCGAAGTATAAAACAGCTACGTAACAACCGTTTCTTACATAATACTTACCAAACAATACAATATTTAAATATATGAACAACATGTTAGCTACAGTCCTATGTACTTTAGAAACTAATGTAATAATTTTTCATTCTAAGATATTAAATGCATTCGAGCGTTTTCATACACATTACAAATTTCAAAACATGGTATACGTAGGTAACAAAATGTTACCATTTTGAACGTATACAATAACACTAGTAACCCTGGACAATTCACACAGCGCCATCTAGTTTCAAGCTTAGCAGAGCTTGTGTTATTATTGGTGCTAGATAACTGACACAAGTATTTTTTTTTCGAATGCAACATTACAAGGCTCTCTCCAAAGTGGGAAAAAGGATTGTTAGTAATGTGGATTGATGATGAAATAATCTGACTGAATGTTCTTATTGCTAGCAATGTACCATGTCAGGTTGACCTCCACGCGGTTCCACCTTGAAACCATCGTGATAAATTCTTGGTGAATTCGCCACTATGGGCTAACTGACCTGACCTCATGTTCATCTTATCATCCTACACTGGTGCCCTGCCAGTGTATACCGTTAGTGCAGGCGGGTGCTCCACTCCGTTATCATCCATAAAAAAAGGCTCCCTCCAGATTTGTTTGGGCAGGGAGAGAAACACGGGACGTGAAAGCGCCCCTTAAACCTACACCCGTGTCACAAATCCCGGAATATGCTCGGAGTATTCCTTTCTGCCACACGATGGATCCTGCAGTGGCACCGAAATTTATAGAAATGTCATAAAACACGTTTGTTTTTTCTATGACCTGGATATCATAGTGATAAATTCATGGTGAATTTGTCACGAAGTGGAACCAATGGTTTAACCATGATATCCAGGGGGAACCGCGTGAGGGTCAACCGGACATCAAGAAAACAATTTTATAAATTTCTCAGAAATGGTTGGACCGATTTTGACGGGACTTTCACTCGCAGATTGCTATTGTTAATAGGGATTCCCTTAGACTATTTTTTAATAAAAAAAAATAATTTTTATTTTAATTCTATGCTGACGAAGTCGACGGATCAGCTACGATTTAATTCTTGAATCTTAACAACGAACAAAATTCTGTATGAAGACGAATAGTAAATTTTTTTTTTCTAATAGTTTATTTTTGTTTTTTGGGCATAAAGTACACATCGGAGAATCAATTGTCTTTATTCTATGCAAATAAAATATAAAATGACCAAATCTCAGTCGACCCAGTTCACTTTAATCTAAAATTTATTATTAATTATTAAAATCTCTTTAACAATATATAGCCTACAGTAAATGACAGTTTTGTTGGTTGGGCCATTTGTTTTATCTTCCACATATTTAGTTTACTTGACTGATAAGCTTCAAGTACCTACAAGTACAATGTATCGATCACCTATTGGTTGAATATTCCGGTCGAGATACGCACTGGACGAAATACGTTCTGAAATAACTAGCCGCTAGGAAAACAAATATAAAGGAAGTAAAACGCCCGCCATTTTTGTTTAAAAGAATCTTCACTTTATTAGCGGTCAGTTACTTCTCGACCGGAATATCCAGCCAATAGGTGACCTATACATTACTCGAGATACACACTGGAGTTCTGAAATAACTGGCCAGTAAATAGTAACAAACATACACCCATCCATCCATACTCACAAACTTTTGTGTTTATAATATTAGTGAGATAGCGGACATTTTTTTAAACAAAAAAAAAAGAGAAAGAACGGCCGCCATCTTTTTTATTTAAAAGAATGTTCATTTTATTAGCGGCCAATTATTTCAGAACGTATCTCCTCCAATTCGTATCTCGACCAGAATATCCAGCCAACGGAATAATAGATGATCGATAAATTGTAGCCTATCAGGAAAGTAAACTATGAGTAAGTGGCAGATAAAATAACAAACGACCAGCCCACTTGCCGATAGCACTGTTGTTGTTAACTACTCTAGATAACATATACTAAGATAAAAATGACACGGCAAGAAAAATGTATACATTGTCAGTTGTCCATGCTGCCTAATCCACGATCAGCCTGTCCTTGTTGAAGTGGTAATCACATATCGTCATATGTACCTCTTCAAATTCTGTAAAATAATATTTTAATTGTTGGTATTTTTATGTCACTTAAATAGCAAACAATCCTTCATCATTATCATTAGTCCGCTACAGTCCACTGCTGGACCTAGGCCTCTCCTTTATGAAATTTTATATGCATATTCAGTAGGTCTAAGAATCGGCTACTATCTATTTTCCATACACCTAAGTGATAAGGGTTGTCCACCATTTATTAGCATTAAAAAATACATACAACCCTAAATTTTCACCCTTCTATCGTCAACCCCAATTTATAATAGCGATTTTAATTTATAAGGCAAAACAACGTTTGCGGGATCAGGTAGTAAATCAATAAAAATAAAATCTCCCGTGTATTTTATTCGGAGTACTATAATACTGTAAGCCGTAGCTGGCCTTTACAGCTTCACCGGACGATAGGGGGCGAGTGCAGATGGCACTCCAAACCGCGGAAGGAGTTATGGAGCGGCTGAAGACCAACTTCCACCTGACGACTTACGTGCGACTTTAGTCTGATGGCATCGCTAAGGCTGTCGTAATTTCGATCCCCGTTTGAGGGACGGGGGATCGATCGGAAAATTCCGCGTGTAAACGTACCTTGCATAAAATTGCTTTTACAATTTCTACGCTGCAATGAGCAAGCACTCCGGAACAAGGCGAGTTGGCCATCGTTCATATTCATGGCGCATACTGGCTCCCCGTCATCACAATCCTCAGCATATTGAGAACAACCGCTGCGTAGGTGCATCACATAAACATTGCAGAACTTCGGATCTATCATATCATACTCTGTAACATTATGTATTAGCTGTTCCCGCGGTTTCATCCGCGTTAAATTTCAATATAAAATATAACCTATGTGTTATTCTGATACATAAGCTATATTACTGTAAAGTTTCGTTGAAATCCGTTCGCTGTTTTTACGTGAGAGTAATAAACATTTATACTTACAAACTTTAGCGATTATAAAATTATTCAAATTTATTAAAACTTTAATACACAAGTACACAAATATATACATATGACAGACTTAACATCTTGAGATAATTTCTCCCAGTCAATCATTGGGCAAACAGAGATTTTTGTGGGCAGTGCATTTAAAAAAAAGCATATAATTTAAAATAACAATGTAAAAAAAACTATGATTACCAATATCTTGAAAGTACAATCAGACAATGCCTACTGGTAGTTTTTAGTAGTTTTTGGTAGTTAATAAATAAAAATTATTTTTCCGACTACTCCGACGGCCGTACGTGTGCGTATGGTGAAGCTGTACGGCCTTTACAGCTTCACAGGACGATAGGGAACGACACAAAACCGCGGAAGAACTTATGGAGCGGCTGAAGATCAGCTTCCACTTGATGGATACGACTTTAGTCTGAGGGCACCGCTAGGGGCTCGAACCTAGCCTCAGGCCGTCGTTTCGATCCCCTTTTGGATTAGACGGGGGATCGATCGGACGGGCTACTGGTAGTCAGCTTGTTATATATGAAGAAGAAGAAATGAACTTACTCAGACTCCCGCGGTAATTCGAGCACATATTATTCAAAATGATATGACATCCACTCTGGAACCACTTGAATTTCATGTTTTTTCTATTCAAACCGCAAGCGGACTTGTGATAATCGTTGCAATGATAAGGATCGCAGTAATCCATCCACGCGGGATTGAATGGTTTCCGGTGGCGGTTAGAAAAGTACTCCGGCATTTTGGGCTTCAAGATCTCATCTGCGAAATCGATTTATGTAAGAGATGATCCGACATAAAAAATTTAACTCTTTAATGCAATAACGGAATTGATCCAATACAAAATATTTTTATTCATGTAGGTCCATTACAGACTCTTATGTCAAATCTACCATCAGTTCGGAATGATTTGGAGATGATTATTGTAAATTTTACTTTCTTTTGTGATCTGTACGTACGCTGTCTCGTATGTGGTGGCCCCACTAAAATATCTTTATTCATGTATGTCTATTAAAAACTCTTATGATACGATTTGTACTAATAATTTATTCAAATAAACTTAATTTAAGCACTTATGAATAGTAATCATATTTTTTTTTTATCTACCGCTTAATCGAAAAGATGTCTCATCACAAGAAAAACGAGCAAAAAATTTGTGTGTTGCTCTTTTAAATAATCCTTGTAAGTTCATATTTACAAGTCGAAACGTGTGAATACAAACTACCAACCAGCACAAATTTATTAGGGTCAAATATAAATATACAATACTAAAAAATTTAAGCCGGTTTATTTTCTAAGACGTGACATATTTATATAATCAAAATATTTACCCTCATTATCTACATCGCTGTCATCTAATTGGATAGATAGATGGGAATAGAGCTGGGAATCTAGATTTGACAAACTGTGTGAAAGCAGTATGTTTGTTTGATTAAACGACGTAATTTTAGCAAGTCTAGTACTTCTAAATATCTATATATTCTAAATATCTTATTGTGTTGGATAGTCCATTTATCTAGTAACTCTAGGCTAGCTAACTTCAAACTGCGACTAATAGGAGCGGAGCTGCAAAGATAAATGTTGCAAAAACGGGGAATAATATGATGCAAACAAAATTGTAGTATTACTACGTAAAAAATGGTTTGTCATCTAGTATATAAAATAGATATTAACTTACTTTTGTAGCGATCTTTCACGAAATTAGGATTATCAAATCGTGAGTTAGGTCTGAAATAAATTTATATCATCACAAATTTAGTTATAATAAAAAAAACTATTCTTACATACACATTACTTTATATATCACCGCTCGCCATCGTCAGGAAATTCAACCTCACACATTAGAACCTAAATGATCTCGGATAGTGCCGTTTCAGAGAAGTTTCCTGCACG